TGTCTCTAACCCTGAGGACACACTTTGTTGGGAAAGGGAATATTACTTTCTAGAATTACTTCCAGCTGTAATGGGGCATAGTTCTTTTCATGGGATCCTGTGAAAGTAAAATGATGTTTAAGTTTAAAGATTACTCTCTAGTATAATTGCAAATAGTTTCTGAGTTTTCAGTAGGGTTGTTCTGAGAATCCTATTTGGAGTTCTGTCCAGAATGTTGTAAAAATGTGCACCATTTCAGCTAACCAATTTGGAATCATCTTGAGCAGCTGTTACACAAAAGATGTCTAATAGTAGTACTATTGGCATCATGACATCATATCAATCAGGTGAATTCATTGTTGTGGGGTCCCATCTTCTTCCTGGAAACTTATATATTCACTGAAGAGACTGACAGAGTTATAAATAGATATGAAGAAAAGTAAAAGTTTTACTAATTTTATTCTTCTTTCTGTCCCATACCAGATGGCACTTGACATAGACTGAAACCCTGAATTTTTCTTTAAACAACATGATTGAATTTAGAGAAGCAGAAACATATTTTAAAACTCCAAAGCCATTTTTTATTTTTAAGTAATTCATGACTATTATTATAGTAAACAATATATATATATACTTTTTTTTAGTAATTCTTCCCCTCAGATGTTGTTTTCACATAAGTCATAATATTCTTTGCTTGGTGATATATGGATAATTATTTGTTCCTATTTAGGCATTGAGATGTTCAGGGTCTCTTGAATTTTTGAAGATAAGTATTATCCAGCAAAGACAAGAGTAGAATCCTGCCCCAACTCTTATAAAATATAATGGCACAATTTGTCAATATTTTGTGCATAAGGCTATTAAACATGTGTTGAATAAATTTACTGTGATATTTGTCATTCATTATATATAACATTTTCCTCTTCTGTTCATCTAATATGCTCATAAAAAAGACTAACATTCTTGGTAATTTAATATAAACAAAAAATAAGGAGAACTCCAGATAAATATCAAAATCAATCACCATATATAGGGTATATTGTTCATATTAATCCTACTTATTTATGATCTATTATTACTTACCAAATTCACCATCACACTCGAAGTTTAAAATTTCCCAAGCAATCTATCATCAATTAATTAAAATATTTGTGCTATGCTATTTTGATATGTTTCCTTCACGATAAAGATCTTGAATAGATCAGGAATATAAGCAACATGTCTAAACCTAATAAAAGCAATATATGTCAAGCTGATAGTCAACATCAAATTAAATGGAGAGAAATTCACAGCAATTCTACTAAAATCGGAAAGAAGGTTAGGTTGACTACTCTTTTCATATCTAGTCAACAAAGTTCTTGAATTTATTGCTTGAGCAATTAGACAACAAACAAATCCCAAGGGGTTTGAATTAGAAAGAAGTCAAACTGTTATTTGAAGATAATATGATTGTACAAATAAGTGACCAAAACTCTACCATGAACTCCTAATGATGACATATACCTTCAGTAATGTGTCAGGACACAGATCAACTCAAAAATATTAGTAGACTTCCTATATATAAATGATAAAGAAGCTAAGAAAGAAATCAGAGAAACATAATGCTTCACAATAGCCACCAAAAGCATAAAGTATCTTGGGGTAACACTAACCATGAAGTAAAATAGATCTTCTACATGAACTTTAAGTCTTTGAAGAAAGAAATTGTTGAAGATACCAGAAAATGAAAAGATTTTAATGCTCTTTGATTTGATAGCTAGGATAAACATAATAAAAATGGCAATCCTACCACATGCAATCTATAGATTCAATGCAATTCCCACTAAAATCCCAACACAATTCTTCACATATCTTAAAAGAACAACAATCGACTCCGTATGAAAAAAAAACCCAGGATAGGCAAAACAATCTTGGACAACAAACAAAATTGCAGAGGCATCACAATTCTTACCATCAAACTCATTATAGAACTGCAGTGATAAAAACAACATGGCATTGGCATAAAAAATAGCCAGGTTGTCCCCTCCCTGCCTCTCCCCTCAAGTTAAACCCTCTCCAAAGGTCCCCAAGCTCCAAATTTACTCAGGAGACCTTGTCTTTTTCTACTTCCCATGCAGTTTAAATTTATGTATGTCTTTCTTAGGGTCCTCATTGTTGTCTAGGTTCTCTGGTATTGTTTTTTGCAGGCTGATTTTCTTTGCTTTATGTTTAAAAACCATTTAGGAGTGAGGACATGTGCTAATTGTCTTTCTGTGTCCGGGTTAATTTACTAGTGTGGGGTTTTCCCAGATTCTTATGTAGTTATTTAGTGCTATTAACTTTAATCTTAACACTGCTTATATTATGTCCCATAAATTTGGGTATGCCGTTTGGCCATTTTCATTGAATTTTAGAAAGTATTCATTTCTTCCTTGACCTATTGATGATTTCTTCCTCTATTTCTTCCTTGACTTATTGATGATTCAGGTGAGCATTGGTTAATTTCCATGTGTTTGTGGGTTTTCTGAAATTAGTATTGCTGTTGAATTCTAGTTTTAATCCCTGGTAATCTGATAAGATACATGCGTCTATTCTAATTTTTTTGTATTTGTTGAGGTTTATTTTGTTACAGAGTATGTGGTCAGTTTTTGAGAAACTTCCATGAGGTGCTGAGAAGAAGGTATATTATTTTATGTTTGGGTGGAATATTCTATAGATGTCTGTTAAGTTAATTTGAGTCAAAATATCTGTTATTTCCACTAATTTCTCTGTTAATTTTTTGTCTGGCATACAGTAGTGAGAGTGGAAAGCTGAAGCCTTCCATTATTAGTGTGTGAGGTTTAATGTATGATATAAGCTTTAGAAATGTTTCTTTTACATATGAGGGTGCCCTTGTATTTGGGGCATAGAAGTATTTACTGAGATTTCCTCGTAATGGATTTTTTTCTGTGACTAATAAGAAATGTCCTTCTATGTCTCTTTTGATTGATTTTAACTTGAAGTCTATTTTGTTAGATATTAGGATAGATACACCAGCTTCTTTCTTTGGTCCACTCAATTGGAAAAAAATTTTCCCAACCATTTTCTCTGAGGCAATGTCTGTCTTTGAGGTTGAGGTGTGTTTCTTGTATGCAGAAAGAAGGATGCAATTTGTTTTAGTATCCAAATTGTAAGACTGTGTCTTTTAATAGGTGAGTTGAATTTATTTATATTAATGAATATTAATGACCAGTGGTTGCTGTCTTCTGTTAATTTACTTTTCATTGTTGGTGATGTTATTTTGTACATTTTCCCATTCATTGGGATTTGCTGCCATGTGACCATCAATTACCTTTTTTTTAATGTAGCCATCTTTTTGGGGGGATTGGAGTTTTCCTTCTAGTATTTTGTGTTGGGTTGGGTTTGTGGCTAGGTATTGGTTAAATCTGCATTTGCCATGAGATATTTTGTTTTTTCCTTCTATAGTTTTTGAACGTGTTGCAGTATATAAAGTCTAGGCTGGCGTCCATGGTCTCTTAATGTCTGCATAAGGTTTGACAATAAACTTCTGACTTTCATTGTATCTAATGAGACAACTGATTTTGTACAAAGTCACAGAAGATACTAAAGTGAACAAAAGCTATTTTCATCTATAGGGATAGTTGTGAATCTGCTTATCCCTAGGGGAATTTCTATACAATAATATGACATTAATGAACAAAAACCCAAAGCTTGTAAATGACTGAGACATATCAATTAAAATTATAAAATGTAGAGACATAGATAGATGGAAGAATTATGGATGTTGTTTGAGGAATAATGTTACATGAATATAGGAAGGTTAAAAAAGGTGATCTTGAGAAGAACAGTGCCCTTCTTTTCCAGCCTCTATATTTCTCATACATGAGGCCCAAAGTGTAGTCCCTTCATTGGATATATAATTTTGAATTAGAAAGCCTCATATAGACTCATAAGTTTAAATACTCAAGTCTCAATTGAAGAAAATGTTTGTGAAAGATTAGGAGGTGTGATCTTATAGGAGAAGGTGAGTCATTTAGAAAACGTAGATTTTTCTAAAGACTCAGGCTATTTCAGAGACCTCTGCTTCTATCTCACAAATCAAACTAGGGACCCTCAGCTGCTGTTCCTACCACCAATTTTTGACTCAGTCATAATCCACTCTAAGGTGCTGAAGCTGTAAGCATAATAAATGTGTTTATTTTATATTGTCTTTATTATGTTGTATTATCATAGCAATAGAAAAATAACCAAGATAAATATCCTTAGTGTTTTGCACAGTATGGTGAAGAATTCTGTGGATCTAAGAGAAATGAACTTGCTCTGTCAGTGATGAGATTTTACCTCAAAGACCCTATGTACCTGTGGCATATTCACATAACAATGGCAAATCTGTGTTTTTGATTTTCTATGTAGTTAGATCTCACGTCTAATGAAGTTTTCTTGATGGGATTTGTTTATACAAATTTCTATTGTGAATCAAGAAGAAAGTCATGGAGTAATAAACTGAATGAACTAAAAGCACATCTGGATCTTATTTAAACCTGAGTGCACCATCCTCAAGGAGAAGAGAGAAGATTACAAATATGCTAGGATAATTTTATCTAATGATCATGGTTTCATTTTTCTCTAGGTTTTCCATTAAACATTAATGCTGCTATAATAAAAAATATGACCTAACCTCTGCCTAAAAGACGAAAATTCTCAGAAATGCCCATGTACTTTTTTCTCATGAAATTCCTATGACTAATGTAGGGTACTTTGTGTCCTCGTATTTGACAGTTTACACTTTGTTCATGTGCCTCCTATGATAAAATAGCACAAGGAGAACATATAATGTGTTGGGGACATTGGATCCCTTCAGAAAATATATGTGGTGAAAATTCCAGAGAAGCTGTTAAAAAAAAAAATTCAGGCCAAACACCTGAGAGATGTGCTGAATCTAATCATGTCTGTATAAATTCCTGGGATGAACCTGTATTCTGTGTCTTTTGCACCCCCTGGTGGCCCTGAATAGCCTAACAGCGGTGAGGTTTCTGCTTGAGTTAACACTGAAGTCCTGTCACTGTGTCTGTCCCATCACTGGGTCTCATCACTGTGTCTCTAGCATAGTAATAAGTGGCTGTGTCCTCAGATCTCACACTGCTCATTTGCAGGTACAGAGTTTTCTTGGCATTGTCTCTGGAGATGGCGAATCGATCCTTCACGGATGGTGCATATCTTATAGTACTGCTGTCTTTATTAATATTTCCAACCCACTCCAGGCCTTTCCCTGGAGCTTGGCGAACCCAGGTCATCCAGTAGTTTCTGAAAGTGAATCCAGAGGCTACACAGGATAGTTTCAGGGATCCCCCAGGCTTAACCAGGCCTCCTCCAGTCTCCACAAGCTGCACCTCAGACTGGACATCTGCAAACACAGGGAATGTTGTTAGTAAATTGCTACAGAAGCACTATCTTTTACATATCTTATTAATGTTCACTAACACACTCAGTATCTCTACTTCATAAATTACCTTTTAAGAAAACAACAAGGAAAACCCAAATCAGCATCATATCATTGTCTGTTTTGTTATCAGGGTTGATCACTGAATGGGAAGACCTGGACATCCAGGACTGATTCCTTTGTCTGAGATTTAGGGTCAGTGTTTATCTGGTTTTCATGAGAACAGCTGGGCCATATTTGCATGTCTGCCTGCTATATAAGTTCTGTTGTCGGAGCTAAGAAATAGCGTGTTCTAATATGTTTGAAAATGTTCTGGGGAACTTTACCAGTAAAGATAATGTTAGGAAATTTTTGTATCACACTAAGCTATTTTTTCTTGGCACACGTTAAGTATCATCTATTTCATTTAATAATCACAAACAAAATATGCATTTTATTAGGAATAATTTCTGCACAATTATTCATGTCCTGTATTATAGAGGGCAGTTGACATTGCTTTTGTACTTGCTCAGGAGATCTTTTCTTAGACTGTTTTGACTTCAACAATGATGAACTTAGCACTACCTGAGTCAGTTACAACTCTAAGTGTAGTTGCCTCTGGAATTTGAAAGCTCTATTTTTGTGTTTAGATCATGTGACATGACTGAATTCAACTGCTCAGCAAGAAACTGGCAAATACTTTGTCCACATTCATGGGTAGCAAAGAATATAAAATTCTTTTGTTATTTTCTATTTTAGCTCTCTTTTCCAAGAATATCTATCTATCTGTTCACTATAAAAAGGGAGTGACTGATAAGCTTAACTTCAGTGTACAACTCACTATTTGAATTCTACATGTATTTGAACTCTACATGTCCTACACATATGTCTTCACAGGTCTCTTAAGATGAAACCTCACTCACAACACACTCCTCTTTACCTTTCTTATTCAGTCTGTGACATATGCTCATCTTTCTTACCCAGAAACAATAGGAATCAGCATTGCCACTAATAAACAGAGTTTTCTAATGACTTGACTAAAAATTTGTTTTCTTGACATTTGTTTTTCATTCCCCATCAAGAAGATATTTACTTCTTACAAGTATATACGTCAGCATTTCTCATCATTACCTGGTGTGCTGATCCAGAGATTTATACATCACCAAAACTCTGAGTTGACATCACAGTGCTTCACTCTCAGCTTAGTGCTGAATATTTCAAATGTAGGAACATGGTCTCTTCCAGCATGTTCTCTACCACCATGTGAGTAAAGAATGCATTCCTGGCCTATCACTTCTTATGTCAAAAATACCAAGACACACTGAAAATTTTATAACCTAGATCTTCATTGACTACTGATTAAATAAACATTTATAATGATGGTGGCTTATATTAGCCATCAGTTTGAAACACCTAGATATAAATAAATTTAGATTGAAGAATTGTCTTTTATTTGACTGGCCTATAGCCCTTCTGTTAGGCATTTTATCAAATGGTGATGAAAGAGATCCACCACATTGAGAGTGGTGTCATCCCTGGGTAGTTAGGTCGGACCTCCTTAATAAAGCAATCTGATTAAGAAAATAAGCAGTATTCATTGTTTGTCTCTGCTTCAGTCCTTATCTTTACATTTCAGTGTTAGTTTAACTCAGTGATGGACTATGATCTGTAAGATGACCTTTTCTTCTCCTCATTGCTTTTGAATATAGTGGTTATTACAACAATAGGACCAAACAGGGAAAATAATCAAATGCAATGTTTTCCATATATTAGGCACTCCATATGCTTTCTCTGTAGACTATAGGTAAGAAGAAAATGATTCTGACACTGAAAAACTACCCCATCTTTTGACTAACATTTTGATAAATTGACAGCACATCCTAGAGTCATCATAGAGGAAAGAATTTCAATTCAGGTAACATATTAAAAATTATTCCTAATGACATTCTACATTATTCATAGATCAGTGCTTAGCTCAGCCATTATCAGACATATTTCCTACTTCATAAATAATTATAAATACAGAAATCTATTGCCAGACATTATACAGAGTGTGAGACATAAGGGAAGAATCAATCCTAAATGGGAACTCTGAAGAACAGGTGGAAGATAGAATGTAAGAGTCTAAAGTGGTGTAAGAAAACACTAGAGAATCTGGGCTGTAGTTGTGCCTGCCTTTAATCCAAGCACTTGGAGGCCAGAAGAAGGCAGGTCTCTGTGAGTTCAAGATCAGCCTGATTTATACAGCATGATGCAGGAGTGTTACAGGACAGCCAAGGTTACACTGAGAAACCATGTCTCAAAAGAAAGAGAGCACCAGGAAAATAAGGATTGCTGAAAATATTAATAGAAATAAACAACTAATGAGACACATGGAATGCAGAATGAGAGCAGTGTTTTAACAGCTACACATCTTACAAGGGCTAAGATCCAGAATTTACATTGCGTTGCATAAATTAAATGTCAGAGAAATATAAGTGCCAAGTAGCACACAGACAAATGATATAAAAAAGAGATAGAGACGACCAATAAATATTTTTAAAAATGTTTAATATTCATAGACATCATGCTAATTCAAATTAAAAACACTTTGAAATATGAGTTTTCCTAAGTAGAAGTGGTTGCTATCAAAAGGTCTCACAATTTTTTGGGAATCCGAGAGAAACAGTCCTCATTCACAGTTGGTGGTGGCAAAAAATTAGTTCAACCATTGTAGAAATCTGATTGGAGATTTCTCATAAAATTTAAACTAGAACGGACATATGCTCCTCATGTTTGTCTCTTGAAAAAGTACCCAGAGTACCTCATACTTTATACATTAATATTTATAGCCCCATGATTGAGGCTGCTTTGATTACTTCAGCAAAATATTAAAATTTACCAAGTTATTTATAAAAACACCAGAAAAACAATGTGTATGAGTTACATATAATAGGAAACTATTGTTCATCTCTGATGAATAATGAAATTATGATGTTTGTAGGATATGGAAGGGTATAGAGTGTAAAATATTGGCAAATGATAAGTGAATATGGAGAGGGAATTGGTATTTGTATTTAAAACATTAAAAAGTAACAAACAAACAAGCAAAAGATATAAAAGAGGAACTGGTCCTCCGTGTGTAGCCTAGGAAACAGGCCTTCAGTGTGAGCGGATTCTCTGAATGTGGCTGACATGGAGGCCGACTGAGAAGTCATTTAGAGTGGCACTGGGTCTTGTTTCGTCTACATGTACTGGCTTTTTGGGATCCTAGTCTGTTTGGATGCTCACCTTCCTAGACCTGGAGGGAGAGGGGAGGAACTTGAACTTCCCACAGGGCAGGAAACCCTGACTTCTCTTAGGACTGGAGAGGGAGAAGGAGAGGGAGTGGGGGGAATGGGAGGGTATGGGGAGGAGGGAAGTGGAAATTTTTATAAATAAATAAATAGATAAAAAAGAGGAACTAAGGTCACATTAACACTGATGATAACCCAATTACACCTCATACAAAGAATCTAGACACAGCCAGGCACACAAACACACACGTGTGTACAAAATAAATGCATCTGTGGTGCAGTCTATCTATTTAAAAGAAAAAAAGAAAAGCTAAATAGACAGGAAAAAGGAAGGATTTAATGATGCCGATGAACACGAATTAGGAAAGACGATAAAGCTAAACATTTATCTGGTTCTTACTTTATGAATATATTTTTCATTTTTTGTTTTAGGATAGTGAATAAAGTATATTTGATTGAGAATTTATTATATACAACATAAAGTTTTGATTCCAAATACCCGCTCTAATGGAGAAACCCTGATACAATTATAATAAAGAAGAAAGTATTTCATATTCCAAATAATCCAGTTACGTTCTGTGAGTTTCACAGATTCAGTTTTGAACAATTTCTGGTTTTAACATGATAAAAAAGTTATATTTTCAACATTATATACAGTAGCTTATATGTCAAAAAGATTTAACTCTTTGTTAGCAATGCAAGAACTTCATTTTTAGGACAGTTTCATTTATAACATAGGTTTGTTGATTGTATTATATAATGACAAGCATTGGTAAATTAATATCTATTATGGACAATTCTGGACATCTGATTTGAAACCTATGGAGAGAACATGGAAAATGAGGAATCATAGAACAGCCTCAGTTTACTGTGAAGTTCTGGCCTCTGGTATCATGTTTTGTCTTACAATCAACAGGAAAAGGACCCTCTATTCCCACTCCATGAGAAATGAGCCTGGAAACCCAAGTTTCTTCATTCTAATTTGGGACTCTCTTGCTGGTTGAGGGAGATGAGCCTCTGATTTCTATTCTGAGAAATTTGTATATGAAAAATTTGCATATTATAGCTTGAGCTGGGTTTGCACAATGATGTCCCCTCTTATGCATCTCATATTCCCACTGTTTTATCCTATGTAACAGGGCAAATGTGATCTATGACTGCCATTCCTCATGTGCCTGTCAAATTGTGTGCTCAGAATCAGTGACTTTTTTTCTTTCCAGTGGTTATTTCCTCTTCCCTCTGGGATTTCTCCATTATTCCTTCCCTACATAATGCTCCCAAATCAGTTCTATTCTTGAACTCTTAGGATCATTTGCATTCCCATGTCAGTGTCACGAATTCTTGATGGCACATAAATAAAATACATTTTAAATAAAAACTATAAAATATGTGTTCTCCCTTTATATAAATCATGTAATAAAAGTTATAAATTTGTAAAAGAGCAAGTGGTTAATGGTGAGGTTTAGAAGAAATTATGTACTTACATTAATATGTAATTTAAATATATGTTGTAATAAAATGTAGAAGGATAGTTTATAATAAAGAGTAGTTATATATCTGGTGAGATGGATCTGTGTTTATACACATGTCTTGAAATCCAAAAGACTAGGGTTTGATTTCTGTCACCAACTCATGTATTTACCACCACTTATAATTCTGGCTCCAATGTGAGGCAAAACCTTTAACCTCCTTGGGTAACTACAATCATGTTCAGACATCCTCACAAACAAAAGGACACAATTAGAAGAATACAAGTTTGAAAAAAAGGATATATTCATAAGAAATCAAATTAAATGAAAAAATGTCACACTAAAGCAAGAATATCTGGAATTATTTTAATAATATAGGAACTGGCAATAAATCTGGGTTCAAATATGAAGAAATTCCAGCATAAACCATTCAATTTGATGATTAGAAATCTCATAAAAACCTTTTCTTA